CACATCTGCTTGACGTTCCCCTCCAGGCCTCCGTTGGCCTTCTGCACCACTTCGACCCAAATGCACTTTTTCTTCCTTTTCACTAGTCCCTTCACCTGTTTTCTTGAGGCCCTGTACTTTTCCCAACTCTCCTCAGACGCCTCACTCAGGTACTGCTTGAAGACTTCTCTACGTTCCCCTATTTCTTCTTTCAGCTCGTCATCCCACCACTTAACCGATACCCCACATCGTACCACCTTCCTTCCCACTACTCTCTCTGCCGTTGCGTTCACGATGGACTCCCACCCTTCAATCACCCTGTCCCCTGCTGTCTGTACGTCTACCTGTCCGTCTTCGACGCTTCTCAGCAGTTTCCTGAAGGATTCTACACTACCAGCCAGCCCCTTCTGGAATTCATCCCGTGTCCCATCGTCTCCCAAACGCTCTACCTTCCACCGGAACACTTTCCTCTGTTTCTTACTCTTGATCTTTCTAGATCGGTCGATGTTTGCCCATATGAGGAAGTGGTCGGTCGAACCTATATCTATCGCACTTACGTGTAGCTCTGGGATATGTATNCGTGTCCCCTCGTCTCCCAAACCCTCTACTTTCCACCGGAACACTTTCCTCCTTTACTCTCCATCTTTCTAGATCGGTCGATGTTTGCCCATATGAGGAAGTGGTCGGTCGAACCTATATCTATCGCACTTACGTGTAGCTCTGGGATATGTATGCCTAAGATCCTACTCACACGCCGGGATGGAGCGTACACCAACGTCCAGCTTCTCATGCACGCTCCACCATGGGTTGCTACCCCACCTACGCTCTTGAGTAGACCTATCTGCCGAAAGTTTGGCAAACAATTCCTTACTGCTTGTACTCGCCTCTCTCCAATCGAAAACAATGCATTGTGCGTGCCGACATCTAGCTCCGCAGTTTTTGCGTGGTTGGTCTGGTCGTTCAGCTTGCTCGACGTGAGTAATAAGCTTTGCTTTGATGACTCTATGTTTATTGATCCACTTCAAGCAACGAACACCCCCACCCCCTGCACCGTCCAATCCATTTTGGATCTCGCGGCGGAGAGTTCTTGGGTGTCTTAGCTCTCCACCGCCGTATGGGGAACTTTGGTGTTTCTTTTAATGCCGTACCAATAGGCATTAACCTTAGGTAAGCATGTGCTTACTTTGGACTGTACCCTCCTCATCCTCTGGGGGAGGTAGAGGGGGAGGGGGGCGCATGGTCTCTATTTTTCAGTTGGGGTTCGGGTACGGGTTGGGGTCGGGTCTGTGTGTACTGCACTCTCGAATTGTCCCCTCACTATAGCTACGGTGGATTCCAGTACACAGCTATCCTCGCTCAACGCGTCTATGTGTCCGGCAATCTCCAATACAAATCAACCTGTGAGGTTTCAGTATGCAGCTTTCTTCACTCAATGCGTCGATGTGTCCGGCAGTCGCAGACGTCACTCAACCCGTGAGGTCTCAATATGCAGCTATCCTCACTCAACACGTCCATGTGTCCGGCAATCTCCAATACAAATCAACCTGTGAGGTTTCAGTATGCAGCTTTCTTCACTCAATGCGTCGATGTGTCCGGCAGTCGCAGACGTCACTCAACCCGTGAGGTCTCAATATGCAGCTATCCTCACTCAAAGCCTCCATGTGTCAGGCACTATCCAACATCAATCAACTTGTAAGGTTTCAGTATGTCGTTATCCCCACTCAGCGCGTCTATGTGTCTGGCAAACTCAAAAACCAATCCATCTGTGAGGTTTCAGTATGCAGCTATCCCCACTCAACACGTCTATGTGTCCGGCAATCTCCAATACAAATCACCTGTGAGGTTTCAGTATGTGTCTATCCTCACTCAAAGCGTCTATGTGTCCGGCACTATCCAACATCACTCAACCGGTGGGGTTTCAGTATGCAGCTATCCCCGCTCAACGCATCTATGTGTCTGGCAAACTCAAAAACCAATCCATCTGTGAGGTTCCAGTATGCAGCTATCCTCACTCAACGCGTTTATGTGTCCGGCAATCTCCAATACAAATCACCTGTGAGGTTTCAGTATGTGTCTATCCTCACTCAAAGCGTCCACGTGTCCGGCGCTTCAACATCACTCAACCGGTGGGGTTTCAGTATGCAGCTATCCCCACTCAACCCGTCCATGTGTCTGGCAATCTCAAACCTCACTCAACCCTTGAGGTTTCAGGATACAGCTGCAATCACTCAACACGCCTATGTGTCCGGCAATCTCAACTTTACTCAGCCTGTGAGGTTTCCGTAAACAGCTATCCTCACTCCACTCGTCCATGCGTCACGCGTCTTTGGTGGCGCATACTATGGGGGCTAT